TAAGAAGGGATCCTGCATATAAAACGATAATTCACCGCCCTCGGTTGTTTTATAGCTCTGGCACATTCAGAGCTAGTTGTCTCTTAAAAAAGCATAATGTAATTTCATTCAAACAGTATTTCACGATATAATCATCAATGTCGTTTACCTCGAATTTAGTGAATCATCGGCCAGATTAGCATAACGTGAAAAACAAACCTTATATTCTGGATAACGGGCCCCTGAGAGCAGATAGCGGCGACTTGGACCAGTTTCAACTAATTAGAGAACTTTACGTTTCATTAGACAAACAGAGCGCTGATTTGTTTATAGGTCGGATACTGAACTAAGTGGACATTTCTATTTCTATTATGAACTCTTGTCCTGAGATAAAACACTAGAAAAAAAAATTTTGGATGAAAAAAATTTTGATCTTTCTCTTTTGAAAAGTTGAAGAAAATATACCAATTTGTGCTGAGTACTTTCGAGCGTTCGTTGATACTAAAGAAATATATTTATTTTGAAATCGTGAGATGCGGTCTGGTGAGATGTAGGTATCAGAAAAACATTTTCTTTATCGTGCCAACTTTTCGATCTTTATTGAGATCATCTTCAGGGCTCATAGTGTTTGTCTTATGTTTAATTGTGCCATTAAGTGTAAGAGTGCTCTCGACACGACACGCAAGAATGGCACAATTACACAGAAGACAAACACTTTGAGCCCTAAAGATGATCTCAATAATGATCGAAACGTTCGCATGATAAAAAAATGTTTTTCTGAAACCTACATCTTACCAGACCGCATCTCACGATTTCTAAATAAATATCGATTAACGGTCACTAATCACCACACACTAAGCAAAGATGTTCATAGACGATATCGCTTTATCAACTTATCCAAACAAATGGCAAAATTTCACCACTGTTCTCATCATCCAATCGAAATTGGTAGCTTAGAACATTCCTTGGCTAACCACAAATACCCCCTTCCTTTCAAATTTCATATTCTCCTAGTTTTCAAAGTGACAGTAATTTCCAAGAATTGACAGGATAGTAAGCAGTAATGGTGAGATCAGAGTTATAAGAGGTGTGAGGATTTGCATAAATAAGTGAGAAAAGGCATACCTAATAATGGATTTATTGATTTTAGGTAGACTAGGATGATAAAACGACCAGATAAAAACTGCATTAACTTGACCGTCAGTCTATCTGCCTTTTGGTTTGCCTATCAACCGCCCTTCTGGAAAATACAGTTAACCAGACGGTTAAAACAAGCCCCAACAGCAAGCCAGGATAACCGGGTATGATCAAGCTACATGACACGTTGCTTCTAAAAACGTGTTTTTTTATTGTTACTATTATACTGTAAAATTGTCGGGATTAACAGGTTCAACGAGTTTTTCTCCGATTCGATATTAAAATCCGTTTCATAATCCGATAAGCATCGATGCTCGTTCGAAAACTAGCACTTTGGAAATCTGCGAAAAGCATCGACTCCTTGTTTGGATATCGGTCAGATCGAAATGAGAGGTATCGAACCCTGCCCGTGGTGAGGGAGGAAGGAAGAGATGGGGAGATTTAAATACGTAATAGACGTGGATAGGTCGGTATGTAAATGGTCTTAACTATTTGTATATGTAAAGAGAAAAGAAGGATGAGCCCGAGGGTTGGGCAACGGTAGCCGACCTATCTGTCTATTACAGCCGGCCCTGGGGGCACTTGTATTCCACCTTTCCCCCAGCGCATACTTCTCATTGATCAGGGCCAACCTTATCGTATATGGCGCTGGAATATATAAATAATTTAACTACCGACTGTTTTCATTTAGGAGAGTCATTCCCACTCAATTTGCATGATTCGTTCTGAACGAGGGAGAAAAAGTCAGCAAAAGTTTCCGATGGGTGAATTCTCATTCTTTCTTGGCGGAAGAATGAATTTCGGATAATTAATACGCTTCCGATATGTTTTTCTCTCCTTAAAACTCAGACATCACAATAGAAAATTAAAAATAATTACATGAACTAAATTAGCAAACCAACACACGCACACTGAACTCGCTCCCTTTCTCTCTCACACTCTCTCTCTCTCTCCCTCTCTTTCTCCCACTCTCTCTTTACATATATATCTCTATCTATCACTTTTACCCTTTTTATTTTTGTCTCTATATAAATCTCTTTATCCCTCTTTTTCTGCATCTTTTTTCCCCTTTTTCTCTACGTCTATCTATCTGAACAGGGTGTTCAGCTACTCGTGTTACAAGCTTTACCGGTAGATTCTACATTCAAAAATGAACCAAAAAATCCTAACTAACCGCAGTCCGGATCTCAACAGTTTCGGAGTTATTTCACTTTTTCTGATTTTTTAAGATTTCACGACCTCGCTTCAATATAAACAATTTGACAATACCAATGAAAACTACGTTAAATTTCCAATAAGATGTTATTAATACTAAACTTGTAAACCCTTTAGCGTTGTAGTAGCGAGAACTTCGAAAGAAAAAAAAATTCAAAAATTTTAAAAAGTTACTATGGTGATTCTAAACTACTATTTCCAAATCTAGAGACGAGCAAATTTCAAAAAACGTACTCCATTTAATATTCTAATTAGTGGTGCAATTGCTTTGTTAATTACTTTTTTCAAAGATGAAGAAATTTATGAAGGAAAAGAAAAAACCGTGGTTGAAGGATTGGTAAGGTGGAAAATTTAAAAAAAACTTAAGGAAATTTTGTATGAATTTATTTAAAAAAATTTAATTTAATTACTATTCGAAACCGATATAGTATTGATACAGTATTGATCACATTTTATTGGAAATTTAACGTAGTTTTCAATGGTATCAACGGGTTTGTCCAAAACCTTTTAATTTTAGAGTTATCATTGTTTATTTGAATCAAGATGGTGAAATCTTAAAAAATCTGAAAAAGTGGAATAACTCCGAATCTGCTGAGATCTTTGGAATTTTTGGTTTCATTTTGAATGTAGAATGCACAGGCAAAGTTTGTAACACAAGTAGCCGACACCCTTTATCTATCTACCGATCTATCTGTCTATCTATTTATTTATCTATCTACCTACCTGCCTATCTATCTATATATCTGTTTATCTATCTACCTACCTACCTATCTATCTATTTATCTGTTTATCTATCTAGCTACCTACCCATCTACCTATCTATATATCTATCTATCTAGTTACCTACCTACTTACCTACCTATCTATCTACCTATCTATCTATATATATATATATACAGGGTGAATTGCTACTCGTGCTACAAACTTCTCCAGTAGATTCTTCACCCTAAAATGAACAAAAAAGTTCATATTGTCCATGGTCCGATTCTCAACCATTTCAGAGTAATTTCGCTTTTTATCGATTTTGAAAGATATCACGTCCTGGCGTCGGAAANTATGTATGTATTTGTTTGTCTGTTACGTATGGTCTGTCAGACTCGTTTTATCTTCAGTGTTGGGTCTAACAGAAGAAATCTTACAAATAAATGCTGTAACAAGAATATTGTCTGAATTGAATAAAAATTAATAAACAAAAAGAATCATCTTACAATTAGATTATTAGTTTGAGGAATAATTTCATAACGCTCTGCCTTTTCGTTTAGGGCTATAGTACTTTTTATTTAAATATTAAATTCATTATTATGATTTTTGTTAAGGTACTGTATTTTTAATGTGTTTACCGTTTACCGTTTTGGCGAACGGTACTTAGCCACACATATTCCATATTCATCAATACATTATGCATGACTATTTAATCCGTACATTTCATAGGTCTTTAAAAATTTTAAATCGTGCAGGCCATAAATATGTCGACAGAGAATGACTAAAAACAATTTTTGGCCGAATTATCAAAGTGTATCTCCTTATCCATCAGATAAGGGGTCTAATTAATAATTCCAGTCCAAAACGAAAATTGCTCAGAATAATATGTACAAGTAGATAACAATCAAAATGGCAAGGTCGTCCGATTTTAGGCTTCCTTTATAAGGCCTTGAAGGTCGAGGCAATCAGTTGCAGATCTATCACATCCTCGTATAACCTTAATTAGCTCTAAATAAGATATCCTTAGATAATATTACTGTTTACTTTATAGCTATCGTGATTGCGGGCAAAAGGCAGTGTCGATTAGAATTGGAATGAGCTTGGATTAACGGTTTTTTCAATACACCATAAAAGCCTTATCTGACTCGTTTTTCAAGTTCAATCATTTTAACCATTTCGGGATACATATTTGTATTTAGCGATTGCTGCTGATAGGCGCGTTTTTTGAATTTGACGTTCTAATATGAAACCAGCCGTGTCAAAAGGACGGAAAAATCGGCTGACCGTGCTGAGGGACCTACCGCCATAAGTTCAAAGAATCAAATAAATAAAAATGCAACTACAAGGACATTTTTAAATAATTTAAATCAAATTACAAATTGGTATGTCTTTTGTCAAAACATATTGTTCTTACAGTCTTCGGACTATTAATCCATTTCCAATCGGCTAATTTATAAGAGCTCTGTATCTGCAGGTGCAAGGTCGACAGAAAGGGTGAAAAAGGAGCAGCACAAGTCCACCAACTTTTGTGGTTGTTTTAAAACGTATACTTGTGATCAGTATTTATTTTTTTAACGTATGCTCTACGAAATAAGTTACTTTATTCCTTTGTTTTATGTTGGATTGCTTTTCTTTTGCTTTTTTACACTACTTTTCATAAATAGTGGACCGCCAAGGCAAACGTTTATCAAGGTAAACATTGACACTATATACACATTTCAGTTAATTAATTTTTAATTAAGGTATTGGTTGAGATAAAAAAGTCAGCGTCACGTGCAGGATTCGAACCCACGACCTTCGGCTAAATACGCCGCGGCTCTACCACTTGAGCTATCGTGACTTCGATACACTCGGACACCAACTTTCCAGCTCAATCCCACCTTTTGAATTTTCCCTCCTTTTTGCCATTTTTCAAAAAATTCAAAAGGTGGGGTTAATATAGGAAGTTAGTGTCCGAGTGGTTCGAAGTCACGATAGCTCAAGTGGTAGAGCCGCGGCGTAAAAGCCGAAGGTCGTGGGTTCGAATCCCGCTCGTGACACTGACTTTTTTATCTCAACTAAAAACCTTAATTAATCTAATTACATCAAATTTTCTAGTTTGTCAGAAAACTGATCATTGATACAAACGTTTCCTTGAGAGATAACAAATATCTTCTAGACTTTCTTCTAGATGGAAATTGTACAATTTTGTTACAATTGTCAATTTTATTTTATTTTTTTACGAGGGTTCTCAATAGCAGAGGTCATACAAACCCTCAAGGTGCCGGTGTTTTTGAAAAAAGCCCATTCGTAAGTATGTCGGGTTCGAATGCAGGGCCGCTGGATTCGAACCCGGGACCTTTACCTTGTGATGAGCACTGGGTCAAAGACTAAACCTTGCGGCCACCGACGCCCCTACAATTGTCAATTTAATCCTCCTCATCCAGTGTCCAGTAGACCACCGGGAAAATAGCTGCATGTTTCTTACCTTTTGTAAGAAAATCTCATCTAGCAATCATACACTTTGAAAAACCTTCATTAAAATTACAAAAAAACAGACTTTGTAAATGATACACAAATAATATGTTCTGAACGAAAGGAACTCAGATTGTCTGTCTGACCTTTACATTAATAACAAAGAAAGTGATAAAACAAATACCGTGTTTGCAGAAATTCTATTCCCCTAGATGACCTTCGAGGTTATGGCTTTAATAAAAAATCATTTATCTTGTTCAAAAGATCGTTTATAATTTTTGATATGTCCTTTTACTGTAAAATATTGTTTTTTCTTTACTTTGTGTCACCTGTCATTAACTAACACCCTCCTCCTCCAACAATGTTGTGCAATAATGTTTTCTCTAGTAATAACTTCAATGTAGGATTTAATGCTAATAACTGATAACGCAGTTTGTTGTTTGATAAAGATAATTAAATAAGATAATTGTTGCATTTGGTATGCCTTATCAAGGCACGATTACAAAATCTAACGCTTAACCTATCTGTTGCCATATCATGTAATTTTCTTTCACGATTAGTTCTAAAAACCTAAATATTTCTTCTCTTTTTTTTTAAATCACGCTTTCCAATTTTTAGCTACTAACAGATCGACAAATGATCATAATCTGTATTTGTAAGATTTTATAAAAGAAGAAAAAAAGTTATTTTTGAATATTTTAGTAGCGATGGTCCAAGTTTTTCACTAATTCAATATCCTATAATTCTTCTGTTTTCGAAGAATTCGTCAAAGATTGTCTTGTGCTTTCGATGGTTAATATGTACTAATACGTACTCTGCGTAAGTACTAGAAGTTAGTGCTAGAAAACGCGGTGACCGTTACGCGCAAGTGTAATGACTAAAGCTGGGAACACACCCGATGCAACGCTATGCGACGCTACCCGACGCAAATCCCAAGTCCAATTTTCCATAAGATTGTATTACCCCCGTGCACATCTGCCCGATGCTATGTAACGCTACCCTATTCTACGCTCTGCGATCCCCACTGTTCAGATTTTCGTCGGGTAGCATCGAGTACAGTCGAAGACAAAAGAACCGGACATTCATATTTTATTCAAACTACATGTATTATTGTCGTCATATTAATTACAACGTACTTATTTTAATGTAAACCAAATTAACCGGGATCAAAAATTCATTAGTTTTTACTTTTAAAACAAAATTAATTTTAATGGTTAGGTAGAAAATTGATCAAAACACCGGAATACCATTTTTGATATAATGAATTTAACTAACAATTTATTACAGGTTTTGCTCATAAAATTTAACTAACAATTTAATTCATAGTTTTGCTCCTAAAATTTCACCATTTTTGTCGAGTAGCGTCAGAACAGGATACTCATATTTTTTGTATACGTAATTTTGTCGTTATGTTAATTACAACATTCCTATTTTAATGTAAACCAAATTAAACCAAATCAAAAATTCGTAAGTTTTTACAAAAATTATTTATTTATAATGGTTAGGAAGAAAATTTATTTATTTTTATTTAGTTTATTTAAAACAATTAAGTTTAACTAATAATTTACTGTATGGTTGTGCTCATAAAAGTTAACTAACAATTTATTACATGGTTTTGCTCAAAATAATGCAAGAACAAAAGAGGTGTTGCGATTGCGATACTGATTTGTGATACACGCTGTGTGACTGTACGTGGCGTGCGCTTGACGTCGCTTAGATGTGCACACCCTACCAAAACGTGATAAGGCGTCGGGTAGCATCGCATAGCTTTGCATCGGGTAAGTGTGTTCCTCGCTTAATGCGGTGCCATAAGAGCCGAATACCGATAGCTTTCATCGAAACAGTGTTCATTAATAAGCTCCCTGATGATTTTCCGAATTTTCCGTTTAGCTGGTATGCTGTTGTTATAGATAGTTCATAAACCATGCATCAAAATTAGCAGGTGGTAAGTTTAGGGGAGGAAAAGTTCCGCGGCTAACTAAATTGGTGATTCACAAGCATACGGGAATAAAATATTTGGGCAATAAGCGCCTAAATAATGAGCCTTCTGGCTTCCTTCGATCCCATTAATAGCTTGTTGAACTTCGCAAAGGAAAGCCGTTTCATCAGCTACTTGCAGTAACGGTGACTCGTAAAATAACTTCATAAATATAGTAATTCAGATATCATGAACATGAAACAGCAAAATCTCACTGGCACTCTCAACACGACACGCAAGGATGGCACAATTACACAGAAGACAAACACTTTGAGTAAGTAGAAATACTTTGTTTGAATATAAAATATATTTTGCATTGTATAAATTCACTTTTCCACATCCTAAATGTATTTGTTAAATGTAAACATTGTTTGTAAATCCCAGGCCCTGAAGATGATCTCAATAAAAGATCGAAACGTTGGCACGATAAAGAAAATGTTTTTCTGAAACCTACATCACACCCGACCGCATCTCACGATATCTGAATTACTATCGATTAACGGTCACTAATCTCTACACACATCATAAATATGTTCAGCTAATTCACTAGACGATGCGTCTAAACCTTTGACTTTGGTTGGCATTCTTGCTGAAAAATATTGGGAAAGTAGATTCAGTATTCCTGTTCAGTGTCAACCTTGTTCTTCTATCTTATTATAGAGTTTTTTGTTTGTTTTTTCACGAAATGCTTTGTGCCCTTTTCTATCCGGAGGATCAGCATCAACTTTCCCCCTGCAATAAATAACCGGGTTGTTACAATCAAATTGGCCTTTAACGTCGATAAAAGAGCGTCGTCCTAAGCTGAGAGAGGCCTACAGTAGCTGAATCCCAGATCAGGGCACATTGTCTTTGAAATCAGTTAATCCGGCCGGTGAGGCCATTGTACCGCTGGTAATTTATTCTTGGTATCGGCGATCCGGTATGCAGATAGCCTTAGGAGGCACCGCCAATTTGCGTACTCTACGGCTTACCTTTGTTTTATCACTCGGGCCTCCTCGGTCTATCTTACGGCTATATCGCTCTTGTTTGTGTGTGAACCGGGTCGCAACACCGGACGTCACATCTCCTCCGAGTGTCGCTTTGTCCAACACCGCCTCACTTTTCGACCCATCAACAGCTCATTTCCACAATCTTAGTCTATATATCGACTAGATTTGATAATAATGGGTGTCACCTGTGAGAAGCGCCTCTTATGTTACGATCCAAAAGCTTTCCTAGATGCAAATTTAAACCAATAAACATGGCGAACATAAACTAGATTGTATCAATTTCTTGTAGTTTTTTATGCAAGTTGTCCGCGAGTAGCATAGTATAAAGTAATTCCAACCTTTATAGTATCAAATAAAAATTATAAAAAACTTTTTATTGTGATAAATGATCTTTTAATGTGATATTGTATATAATATTAACAGGACGAGATTTTATTTATAAGTTTCGTAAGTTGTATTTCCATTTTTTTCTTCCTCCCCCACACACTCGTCTCCATCCCTCCCTCTCTCTCTCCCTCACCCTCTCCCTCTCTCTCACCATCTCTCTCTCTCTCTCTTACTCTCTTACCATTTCTCCCTCTCTCTCTCTCTCTCTCTCCCTCACCCTCTCCCTCTCTCTCTCTCTCTCTCTCTCTCTCTTTCTCTCTTCCTCTTTCTCCCTCTTTCTTTCTCTCTCTTTTTCTTTTTCTTTATTAATATTTATATTTATCCATAATTTCTCCTCTATTCCTCTATGTCTCCCTCTCTTTACGAATAATCTATCTATCTATATATTTATCTTTCTATCTGCATTTACCTACCTACATATCTATCATTCTCTCTTTATTTACGATTATCTATATTTCTGTATAAATCACGTTATCGTCGTTTCTCTTTCTCTCCTCTCTATCTATCTATCTACCTTTCCCTTCCCTCTCACTCTCTCCTATTTTCTTATTTTCGTTCTCTCTCTCTATGCATGCATTAAGAAAACGAGAGAGAGAGAGAGAAAGAGAGAGTGTAGTCTCGAAAAAAATTGAAGAGATAACATATTTGTACGCGGTGTAAGAAGGGAAAAATAAGAGAAAATGAGGGATAGCGATAGAGAGAATTGAGTGACAGACAGATAAACGCAGAAAGAGCCGTGTTAAAAAAGCGAAGAACAAAAGGTGTACGGATGAGAAAAACAATTGTATTAGTATCTATGGAAATAAACCAAGGGCTACAGTTAATATAAACCTTGACAAATAGCCACTGTCTAGGCAGTGTCTCTGATTTTGGAATGTTGCCTAGTAGATCAAAAAGCTGGATATTACCAACAATCGGGTAACTAGGTAGCACTAAAATCAAGCACCTTACCGGACTAAAGTTCAGCCATGTCAAACATAGGGTTTGTCCTTGTTTGGTACCAGGGCACACCCTCTATAGAGTTAACAGGGAGGCGGACGAATTGGCCAAGGAAATGTCCCTAAACCCTGGATCGTGAGAAAAAACCTCAGATAATGGATTACGAATAAATCCTCGGCTCAATGGGATCGTATTCCAGAACAGAAGCATGCTCAATAAGACCTTCGCAGAATATCTAAACCTAGGAAGTAATCTTACTATAATGTTACCTGAACTGCTGACTGTATATTAC